CGGTTGGTCCACCAGTCCCAAGCAACAAACGCAAGAAACAACACAAAACGCAACGACCTTCACATGTGGCTGTAGCGGGGTACTGGAGTTGAGTGTGGTAACCTATTGTTGAGAGTCAGGAAGACAGCCAGAGGCTTGTTTAGTTGATTCTTTTTTTTATGATTTTTTTAATGAACATTTTATGAAAACTAATTGGTCCTCAATTTTTGGAGATTTCAATTTTTTGATGTTTATGATATGTTTGTGTTGTTTAATGATTTGTTTATGATATTTTTATGAATTATTTTATATTTTTTTATGATTTTTATGGATTTCCACCAAATCAGAAAATCAACAAAAGTCAAAAAAAAAAAAAACATAAAAGTTTCATAAAATATTCATAATTTTTTCATAAAAATTTCATACTTTTTATGATGTTTTTTATGATTTTTTTTACGATTTGCCGAGAATCGTAAAAAATCATAAATTTTATGAAAATTTTATGATTGTTTAATGAAATTTTTATGAATATTTTATGAATTGTTTATGATTTTTTTTATGATTCTTTTATGAAATTTTTTAGATTTGTTGAGCACATCAAGAAATTAAAAATAATTTTGTGAATTTTTCATAAAGTAAAAACCAAACATTTTTTGTTCATAAATGCGTTTCGTAAAATTTTCATAAATAAATCATAAAAAAATATGTTGAAAAACATATTCCCTAGCCTCTCCCCAACTCACAAACCTATTGAACTACTCAGTGGGGGAACTACATGGAGCTACCATCCATGAAATCAAAGTCAAACGCGTTTGTGCTCATCAATCGTGCATCATGGGGACCCTGCCCATGTTCAAGAGCAGAAATGCGAGTGAACAGCACAACCCCAAAACACACCAGATAGTCATATCAGTCCTTATTCATCACAACTGCGCGTTCGGACCTTTCAGCGCCGACGCTGAGGAAGGCCAATGCCTTTGTCTTCAAGATTCCTTAGCCCAAACGCCCACCCATCAAAACGTCATAAAACACACCGTAAATCTGATCGAAATCTAAATCTGCGGGCTCCGATCTTGTACCAGATCACCAACTCTCATCAGCGGTTGGTCCTTCTACGACCGAACCATGTGTGGCGCAAGCCGTTGAACCATCTGAGCCGAAGATCTATCGATGTCCAAGACCCGCGAAGCTAAGCTGACAGGAGCTCGCAATAGGGGAGCCATCGAAATGCCTCGGGTACAGCAGCACCATTTCACTGGCAATTCCTTGTTTTTCCGTACACTGAGTTGATTCCGACTCCCAATTCGCGACCTGGGAACATCTCTAGCTCTGCCAATACCGAATGCATCATGGATTGAGATTGAACCTTCTGAGTCGACACTGCACAGGTTACACCAGCACCTCTGTGTGACATTTCCCAAGGTCCACACGTGTCCAAACCGTTGGTCCTCTTCAACCCTGACGCAGCCCCCAATCCATCCTAATATATTATCCTAATCCTAATGAAATCTTCTTCGTTGCCCTTCACGATGTTCAATGCCTACTCTTCGGCACACGAAAAATCACGCAGGTAAAGCTTTAAGCAAAGCCTGAAGTTCAAAACAACGCCCACCACCACCATCTCCACTCATTGCAACTTCTCCCGGCAGCCACTGCAGCCACTGCAGCCGCCCGCCAAGTTGCTGCGGATCCCACCCACATGCCCCGCGCGCAAGGCCACGTACTGACCCGAGCTCAAGTGGATCACCTGCAGCACAAATGGGCGCGGGGCGTTGCAGTTCATCGCTCAATGATGGCTATCGGTTGGGTCTATCGGATCTATCCAGTAACAGCGGGTTGTTGTTTGTTTTCCGCTTTCCTCCTTAGTGGAACTCGGATTGAGCTCCAAGACGACTAGTCAGCTGAAGCGGTCAGGTGAAGCCTACCCCTACGTACGAATTGGCAGGTGTGGCGGTGGCACGAACGAACGGATGTTGGATACCAGTCACAGTGGGGGATGATGGGGCCTGGTTGCAGGCCTTCTTCAAAAATGGTGATACAAATGATAAGGTCATTGTCTACTCAGCTGTTACAGGTAATAGGACAGACCCGAGCCATCTCTACGACCCCATGCTGTAGTTGAGAACTGGGACTGTTCATGACTGGTGAAAGCTCAAAGGCTGGGCTGAGCTTTAGTTCATCGAAGTGCACTGGATTTCTGGGGTACGTGTGGTGGATCAGCTTCGTCATTGATGCTGCCTGCTGTTTAGGACTCAGCGGTGGGGGATTGGATGCTGAACACGACTGAGGTTGCTACTCCATGTGTGGCGTCATCAAAGCACACACAGGCATAGTCCTGATTGCTTCGAAGTGATCAGGCATTCACCTCCTCATGAACCTTCAATATATTTCAACACAATATATATATATATACAGCGAGTACCCGTGCAAGCATGTGCTGTTGCCAAAAACTATATCGACAAGGAGAATGCGCTTAGCAACAAAGGGGGCCGCCACGACAGTTGGGCTTGGCATACAACATCATAAAACAATGCACATCGTCCTTCCAAAACCCAGCCGGAGATTCACGGTCCTCATTAGCCCCAAGGGTCACCCAAATGACTTTGGGTGGCAATCCATCGTAGCAAAGCTGTGCGGGGCATGGCCAGCGCTTCCAATGATCGGGGCCTGGACACTGAAAACACGGATCGCTTCTACAAGAGTAAGTCAATGCAACGAATGCAACGGTGAGTGGAAGTTTTGGGCACATGTCGGGCGGTGATTAAAATCTGGCAAAGGTGGAATAACGGATGTTTGTTTTGAACAAGGTGGAACAGCGGATGTTTGGTTTGAACCGACTGGGTGTGTGGCATGGATTGCGAGACAGCATCAGCGACCCATCTTCAGATCCAATGCACCTCAGGCACGTACCGACCGACTTGGAGGGGATTGACATTGTACAATTGTACATGTACATGAGTATCCATGAATGCGCACGTTTGGATACATGGCGGCCTCTTGCTACAATGACCGCAGAAGGACAAAACAAGTTTGATGGCCCAGGGCCTAGCAGGACCTGTGGACCTGTGTCTCTCATCATTGCCCCCAACATGCCCGAAACTCATCACTGTGCCAACAAGTTGCACAGTGTTACCTTTCACATCGAAGCATCTCGGTTGCATTGGGGTCTGAGCTACCTGGCGGAAGTTCTCAAGGCAGCACAGGTCAAATGTTCCGCATGCTTTGAAGTTTAAAGCAACCAAACTCGAACGACCTGGGCCTACACTGAAGTCAGGGAAACTGAGATTAGCTGCAGCAGACTTGGCGCCCAGAACCATGATTAGCAAGACGGTTGGGACAATAGCCAATCATAGCCAATCGGCCAATCATGATGATTCTTGTAGTCACAATTCTAAGTATCCCATACAGGAATACTCTCCCGCGCGTTCATGAAGATGTGCACTCCGGTCAAATGCTCAGAAGATCTTTAAGGTGAATGGAAAGCACAATCACTCATTTACGATCTTCTTCCCAGCTTCATCCTTTCAAGCTCAACTGAGGGGAGTGGAGCGAAAAGAGCCATCATGGAAGCCAGCTGGCCTGCACCCGCTCCCCCTGGAAGTTCACTACCTCAGTACACTTGATGAGACAGTCAAGACACACGGTCCCGGGGGTTCCGTTCTTCGCCTGGTGGGTCCTCTTTATATTAGTTATAGGTGCCTCCGAAGCCGAATGAACAGCTGGAATAGCATCATTGACAGCAATGGGCTCCAACCCAATGGCGATGGCCTCCAACCTACCAGCGATGGCCTCCAACCTGGAATGACATCAATGACATCAACCCTACTATCAACCCTCTATAACCTCCTTCTAATTGCCCCTCTCGTGCACATCCCTGGGCCCTTCGAGAAGGGCGACTCGATTCCGATCGCCTGTGCCGACCTGTATTGAGGTCCCTGGCCTGGAGCTTTCCCTCCTTTGGAAGCAGATAAGCCAGGCGCCCCTCAACCTCGAAGCTTCGCAAGGGCTTCGGCAGATCCACGCGCAAGACCTGCAGGAGCTTGTCTCGTGGAGCTTGTCTCGTGGAGCTTGTCTCGTGGAGCTTGTCTCTTCACATGGCCATTCAGGCGTTTGGCTTCAGTTTCCAGACGAAGCTTTTGGGAAGCGTAGCTGCCAGTAGCAGTGTAGCTACTAATTGTGGTTTGAGAAAGGATATCACCTACTCACCCTCTGAGCTTGAGAATGGTTGCCTGGCCAGGGAAATTTCTCTCCCAGCAAGACTCGGTGGAGTCAATGATTGTTGCACCAGGAGTTCCTAGGCCAAGCAGTACTACCTAAACCCCACATCCAATTCAATATCTTCCAGCTATGTATGGTTCGTCAACCCGCCCTCAAACCTGTGAAGTGCACAGCCTCCCCTGCCCGTGTGACGCGCGCGAAGTAGCGCGCACGGCTGCCTGCTGAAAGGTGCCACGGCGACCGGCATAACTCCAAAAGTGCACAGCCTCCGCCTGTGGGATGAGGCCTTCCTGTGGGGCAATGCATTTGGTGCATTCATAAATTAAATTCCATTCCACTCGGGCGGGTCGTTGCACAGGTAAAAATCCAATCCAGGCGGGTCGTCTGCGGCAAATCCTTCTTGATTCATCTCTGACTACGATGGTCAAGCAACAACAAAAAGCATGAAAAGCAAACTCTACCTGCACGGTCAGCCATGGTTGATGGATGGTGCTTTCTACCACCACACCCGTGTTGGAAGCCATCGCTATTAGGTTGGAGGCCATTGCTATGTGGTTCTCAGCCGCCCTCAGAAGCCCTCAGCACCTCGGCCACGGCAAAGTGTCGGCCATCGTCCAGCAGCCGCACCGCTTGCAGCTGTGACTCCGCCGCCAAGGCAGCGGAGGTGATGGGCCGGGGGCCTCGAGAAGAGTGAGGAAACTGCTGAAGATGCGATGCGCCTGGCTGCACCTAAAGAATGAGACAAAGCTGATGAAATTTGAAATGTTGCACCTGCCTTGGCCTTGTTCGAGGGAACCACGTTTTTCTGGATTTCACGAAAAGGCATTGGGGCATTGACAAGGCTGTTTCACAGCCAACTTGCAATCCCGCAACGAGTCATTAGCACTGAGCCTACTGATCGAAGAAATGAAGCCTAGGGGGCTCCAATCAGCTTCCTTCCGGAGCATACCTGGATCTCAGCGTAGCTGCCGCCCTGAGCCAGTGCAACTGCTTGCTCCCATGAAGTAATGCTGAGGCCTGCTCCAGCCGGTGTCTCTGCTGCACATGGCCTGAGACCTCCTCAGCCCATGCGAGGAGAAACTCTTCCACTTCCTCTTGACTGAAACCAGACCATTTGTCCAGGAGCAAGAAAGCATCAGGTCGAGGATCGGTGGCTGCCAACTCGATCACGGTGACTGACCACTGCATCTGCGAGCCTTTGGGACATGCTTGTGGCTCGAGGTCTGAGCTAGTGGTGCGTGCCAGGCGCACGAGTCGAAACAAGGTCCCCGCTGGATAGATCACATCATCCCCGCCACCCTTCAAAGACATGTGCTCAGGGTAGCTTGGGGAGCGCGAATCCGTCTGAATGGCCACTAACACGTTGGAATTCGTCTGCACCAAACGCTTACCTGCATCCCATCTGGAGGCATACGCGGTGGGAAAAGACAAATGACTGAGAACAAACCACATCCCGGCATCAAGGGCTAAAGGACTTTCACCATCCTGTTTCTCTTTGGCCCTGACAGCCGCTCTTTCATACTCATCCTTCCTTGCCAAATACATATCAATCAGCTGCTGCAAGCCTGATGCTGGGAGGGCCAAGGGCCGAAACGTCACTCCCTCGTGTTTGACTCCAGTTCGGCGAAAGAAGCAGGTTGCTGCTTGCACCAGCTGCGCCATCGGGGAGAGTGACTTGATCAGCTCCTGAAATGGAAAAGGCACCGAGCAGGGGTCTGCGTCCTCTTCTTCCAAGTGACGCAACACGTCGGCAATGGCATCAATGATGTGGGGTAGCCATGATTCCCTTGTGTAAAGCCAAAGCACTCCTAGATAGAGTTGTCGCAAGCTCCCTGGCGTTTTTGTGAGCTGTGCCATTCTTCTTGCATTGATGTGAGTCTGCCAAAACTCCTCCAGCTCGCTCTCGCCGCATTGGAGCATTGCTTCCAATCTTAGCCTCTGCCAGCGGGCTCGTAAGTCCAAAGTCTTGGCGAAGCCCTTCCAAGGCGCTTCCACGGTGTACCTCTTTGCAGGCTGAAACATGGCCCTCCCCCCCCAGGGCTGAACCTGCTTACTAGTAGCTGGCATCGCTAGGGTTGGAACCCGGGCATCGCTACTAGGAACGCAAGGACGCTAGTAACGAAATATTTCAATGACCCGAACCTAGGTGGCCCAAGTCGTCCTAAGGCCCTCTAAGGCCCTAAAACCATCTAAAGCCCCATCGTATCGTACCCCAACCACATGTGTTGACTTGTGTGTGTGTGTGTGTCCAAAACCCAGATCACCTGGTTGGCATCCACAAGGTGTTCATCAAAAGATCTTCTGCTCGATGCAGTCCATCAAATGCTTCACCTAGTGCCTGGCCAAGTGCAGATTCACACTCCAGTGCAGGCGGCCAAATGTGTTCCACCAAGGCACCCCCTGTGGTGACCTCTTGGAGGACTTTCTTTGCACGGCTCCTCTCTTTGGAAGACACCTCCGTAAAGTCCACTAAAGCCAGAAGACCACCAAAGGTTCCTCCACTGAGCTGACCAAAGTATTGCTGTTCAGCATTGAGCTGCAAGTCTCCGAAGACTTCCAGAGCTCCACAAACTTCTTCGCAGCCGCTTTGGGCTGCTAAGGTTCCAGGAGACTCCCCAGCGTTGTCCACGAAGTCTGTCACGTTCACATAGCGATTGGCCAATTGCAAGCGATCCAAAACCAACAGGGTGCTCAACAAATCTCCACCTGGAATGGACACCGAGAAGTGCCCTTCAGAACAACTGCAAAATTTCCAGAGTATTATAATGAAGCCCCTTCAATGTCGCATGTGGGGGAGGCACCTTGTGTGTAGTAGCTCCCACCCCAAAAAAGCTACGGGTTCCAATAAAATATATTAAAATATAGGTGTTTGGTTTGGAACAGACTGTGGATGAATGATGAATGATGATGAATGATGATGAATGACTCTCGACTTCACACTGCTTCACCTTCAGCTGCCCGATGAAGTGCCATGCGCCCTCGACTATCAGCCGCCGTGGGATCTGCTCGATGGCTCAAAAGCAGTTGCACCGCGGAGGCCTCACCGTGTTTGGCCGCGGCGCCCACCAGTGTCTCGCCGCTGATGTCGCGTGCCACGCTCAAAAGCCGAGTCACCTCCTCAGCCTGGTAGCGCGTCTCGTCCGTCTTGGCATGAGCATCTTGGATCATCTTCTCTAAAATGACCACATCCCCCACACGCGCCGCACGGAAAATCTCCCGGGAGTAACTCACCCCAAGCGCCGTGAGCAAGGAGGGCTCCTCCTGGCTAGTCTGTTCAAACTCTTCTGGCAAACCTGGAGGAGAACAGCGCGCAGGTGCCAGCACCCTTGGCGGTGTTGCACCTGTAGCCGTTCGATCCACCAAGGGTCCATCGGGTTCCAACATGGCCACAGCCCAAGGAGGCACCGGACCTCGTGGTGTTGGTGTCTCGTCATCCCACGGGTGTGGGAGATGTTGTAGTGGCTCTTCACGGCTGAGGCAACCTGCCCAAACGTAGCCTAGGCTCAACACAAACCAAGACCCGGTTTGTAGAATCGTCGACTTCTGGCTCCATTCAGCTTCACCCCTCTTTTATGTGACATTCTCGCGTATACAAAAAACAGAAGCCAATGAAGAATCAACTGCCATCGAGTGGCTGCTGTCTAGCGTATCTTCGTCGCAAGTATGGCAGGACTGGCAGTCCAACTGGCGAACGACCTCGACCGAGCATCCGGAACCCATGCAGACGCGCCGAGGAAGACCGGCACGGCTCAGGCACCATGGCGACACATGGCGCACAAGAGCGACACTTGGGAAGCAGTGGATCTGTGCGACGAGCGACACTTGTGTCACAGCATCCTAGAGGACACAAGATCCCTTGGCGTGTCAAGTAGTTTGTTTTTGAAGTTGGGAGATGGCAGGGCGCTGTGATTCGACTCTCCATCTGCTGCGTCAATTGTCTATTGGGGCTTACTTTGCTGCTTCCGTTGCTCCAAGTACCTTTGTTGAAATTTGCGTGGGATGCCTTTGGAACACCTTTGCGGATGTTTCAGCCATCGACACCTGGGAGCCATCCCTGTCTGCGGTCAAGGAATGATCGTCAGAAAAAAATGCATCGAAGAGTTAGCTGCCATAGCTTGCCATTCTTCCCCGTTACGCAAGCCCTGAAACATATGAAGATGCCAGAATCTGGCGGCATAGCTCGTGGAGAGCCACTGGGTGGGGGGGACATGTCAGACATGTTCAAGTCTGGGTTATACATTTAGCAATGAAGAAAACGCCACGGCCAGGTACGGCATTCCAAATGAAAAAAGGAAAATGGCACATCATCTCAAGACTTCACAGCAAATCTCAGCCGCCAGCTCAGGCTGTCATCCACAACCGCCACAGAGGCTGAGAAGGCCTGGAGTAGCAAATCCGTCTGACCCTTTAGTATTACAAAAGGATTAAATGCCTGTAGCTGATCCGATGCCATTTCATAGGATGGCGGCTGAGTGCTTGGTTCGATGTCTAATGCTTTTGGTCTGCTCCTTTCTACCCGTGGCATGTCGTGCTTCCCACTGAAACCCAACATCTGTAGGAAGACATTGGAGAGAGCAGAGGCGGCATCCTCCAAGTCTTGTGCATATCATACCCTCCATGCCAGGTGCATAACACCATCCACGGCTTTATATAAATGCAGCTTCTCCATGTTTATCACAGTTTCCCAGTTCTTGCAGTGGGATTCTGAATGCACTGGACGGAACTTGGACTGGGGTGTCCAGTCAAGGGTCATTAGGTTAGAAAGTTCTGGCCAGTCACATTTTGGAGGTGTCCTTTGAGCCAAAGGAACTGAGATGCCATGGAGGATCACCAGGTGCTGGGTCTCACGGTGGAAGTCCACCTCAGCCACACGTCCGGGACTGCACAAACCATTCGACCAGTAGGCCTAAACCAGAGTGGACACAGGCAGGACCATACATCGATGTGTCAGTGTGATACCCACATATGAGAGACCAAGATGTATCAAAAAAATGGACCATGTTGGAGTGTGCTGGGAACATGGCGTGCAACATTTCACACTTGGAGTGTGCTTCTAATGCTGACCATTTCCAGCTTTGCATCCGCGCATAAATCGGAGAGCATCCCGCCAGGTCAGACAAGGAATGCTCCGCCGCCTAGCAGGGCGGAGTTCAAACACCTTTCAGCTTCCGATCGAATGAAATCCGCTGAGCGACAACTAAAGGGCTAGTATCTGCGTTGTTGAAAAAAGCACAAAGCACGGCTACGTAAGGCCGCGTGAGTTCATGTATCTCCAAAGTTCTTCCGGAGAATCTTGTTTAGGAATGAGACCCACCGAATCCCACCAAAACGCTTTTGATGAGCACGCGCCCTGTGGCACCAGCATCTCGCCTTGACTCCATTCTCGGTGTGCCAGATGGATAGCACCGGCCGACCGTTACATCTCCAGAATCCAAAAAGAAAGTGACCATCCTGCAGGGGAACTGCCCAGAGTGTGAGAATGAGGCAGGTTCACCTAAGGATACTGTGCATTTCACCTATCAGATTAGATTGCGAAAACCACTGCATGCATCTGCGATGAACTTCATTCAGCTGGTGCCACGATCGGCCTTGCTGAAGAAGAGATGTGAGCAGGATTGGCCCGGTTGCCTGATGATCCACTGTTTCACGACAACCGCACTGGCGGGCTACTCCAACGTCTTTCCAACTACTATAAACACTGTTTGGATGGATCATGATGCATGCGGAAGAGGTGCGCAAAGGTGCCGAACCCAACCTATGTCACGATCCGTCCAAACCGGGCGATTGAACCAAAAAAAACACGTCGGTGAACGTCCAAAGGTCGTTCGTCGTTCTTTTTTTCTGCAGCCCAGCGGCAGGAGGATGAACTTCCGGGCATCGTCCAAGCGAGTGAAGTCCCAAATGACCACAATGGACCCTGCCTGGACGCATCGGAGCGGACGCCCGACAGGCCGGGGCGACAGGCGGACAGGTGGGGCGTCCGGGCCCCGACGTGGCTGAAAGGCCAGATGCAACACATACAAATTGGTAGCGATGCCCTTGCTCCTAATAGCGATGCACTTGTTACTAGTAGCT